TGCACATAAATCTGTAGAATACATCGAGTACATGAAAATTCAGACTTTCGTCAATGGAATACGAGACAACACTACACGCTTCGCTGCATTAGCATGTCCAAAATTGACGTTTGCAGAAACCGTTTCGTGTGCTCTGACACAGGAAACTGCATCTCTGCTTTGCAATCAAACATTTAAAGCTCACAAAGTAGAAATAGATGAACACACTTGGGTAAACCAATTACTAGCAAAAATTGACAACATGCAGAAAGCACTGGAAAAATCTACGGAAGCGCATAGGACAAATTATGGTGTGCTTAAATGCTTCAACTGCGGAAAAAGGGGCCATATTGCACCCAACTGTAACCAGTCCAATATTCCAGTTGGACGTAAACGCAAAGCTGAGGAAGATCAAGCAAATGTCAAATCAAACCAATCGTTAAATTAAAGCGAGCCAGCTGAAAAGGTCACAGGCTGGCTCCCGCAAGCAAATGCTCTGTAATCTCCATTTCACAAATAAGCAGGAATACGAGTAACGTTACCGTTAGTGGATGTGTAGACAGTAAAAAGCGCATACTGACTGTGGATACGGGCGCATCACATTCCATAATTCGATCTGATCTGGTTGAGAAAGAAGTGAGACCATTAGCTGGGGCAGAGTTGGGTACTGCAACTGGAGAAGATACCTTAGTTCTCGGAAAGGTAAGGCGCGAGATCGTAATTTGAAAGGCAGCCGTGTTACACAATTTTATAGTGGCAGATATCGTTGACGAAGTCATAATTGAAGTAGACTTTCTAGCGAATCAAGGAATCAAAATTGGCATGGAAAACAGGATTATGTCCTATAGAAATATGGAAGTGCCACTTATGTTCGGTTACGATAATAAGTTCAACGTTAGACGAGTGATAACAACAGAGTGCCAGCAGATTCCACCAACATCAGAAGCAGTTATTCCGGCAGAAATAGATGGAGACTATGGGCCAAACAAGTGGTGGATTGTTGAGCCCACAAAAGAATCTACACCAAACTTACTTATAGGCAAAACCCTGGCTATGACAAGACAAGATAAACGTGTTCCAGTAAGAGTACTTAATGAGTGCAAGTTACCAATCAAACTCTCCAAAGGAGCTATATTAGGGCAGTGTCAAGAGATTTAGGCCGTGATAAATTGCGAAATACGTCTTGAGGAAAATTCCATGGACGAAAATGATATATCGAGTGAAATTAACGCATGGACTGAGGAACTAGAGGCAAACTATCAAACTATGGCTAAACAACAAGACGATGCCAAAGCAGGAAGAACCATAGTTGTGAAACATTTCATTAACACAGGTGATGCAAGACCAATCCGCCAGGCTCCTCGAAGCGTTCCTTTAGCAAAACGTGAAGTTGTACGCCAGGCCATACGTGAAATGAGCGAAAGCGGCGTAATCGAACCATCAGAGAGTCCGTGGAGCTCACCTGTAGTACTTGTGAAGAAGAAAGATGGCAACATAACATTTTGTGTGGACTATAGAAGGTTGAATGATGTAACGAAGAAAGACAGTTATCTACTACCTAGAATCGATGATACACTGGACTCGTTATCAGGCACAAAATGGTTCTCAACACTTAATTTGAAAAGTGGTTATTGGCAAGTGGAGGTAAACGAAGAAGACAAAGAAAAGACGGCTTTCAGCGTTGGAGATGGTCTATGGCAATTTACCGTAATGCCCTTTGGATTATGTTACGCTCCTGCTACTTTTGAGAGACTTAGGGACCAGATATTAAAATGATTACACTGGAAGACCTGTTTGGTATACCTCGACGATATCATCGTGTTGGGTAAAAGCTCCGATGAACACCTTAAGAATTTGGAAGAGGTTTTCCAACGGATAGCTAGCGCTGGTCTGAAGCTGAGTAAAAAGAAGTGTTCCCTTTTCAAAAAGGAAGTAAGCTACTTAGGACACAAAGTGGCAACGGAGGGCAGTTGCACAGCTAATGAAAAGATCGAGGCAGTAAGAGATGGGCAAAGTTCACGAGCTCTGATGATTGTTCCAAAAGTAAGAATTCCTGAAGTTCTCAACGAGCTGCACAACGGTCCAAGTGTCATAAAATAAAAGCAAAACACGTCAAGGCAATAAACTCTGAGGGTGTTATTAAAGGCGATATTAAAGGCTTATTTGGCAGAGCAAAACGTAAAGTTTGTTTACACCATGGCTTATTTTTTACTCCTACGCATTGAAAAATGTCGCCGTTTAACACACAACCTAAGAATAAAAATAGAAAATAAAATTTTAGTAGCGCTGAAATAAAGTTTACAAGAATATAAAAAGATGACATCACAATTTGTTTACCCTTATCGTTCGTGTGAACCAAAAGAGAATATACTAGTAATAGGCTACAAGATGCAGCCTAACTGCTTATAATAATGAGATTAGGACTGCAAAGCAAATGAGCTTCAGGAAGTTCTGTGAAAGCGTCTCCTCAACTCCAGAGGCAGCTAGGCTGCATAAGGCTCTGGCTAGGGGTAAGACGGACACAGTTCTAGCGATCAAAAGATCTGATGGGACCTATACGTCCAGCGCAGAAGAAAGAGCCACGGCTCTTCTACTTGCGCATTTCCCGGAGATGATTCAAGAAGACCATATCCGATCTATGGTCGAAAGTAGGCCATCGCGCTTGGACTGGATAGTCGCAAAACAGCTCTTCACTGCAGACTCCATCAAGTGGGCTTGGGCCTCCTTTGAAAAATATAAGTCCCCGGGTGCGGATGGTATCCTTCCAGCTTTTCTGCAACAGGGGGAGCAGGTGCTACTGCCCCACCTTGTTCGGCTGCAGCCTTGCGCTGGCATATATCCCAGAACCATGGCGCACTGCAAGGGTGATCTTCATACCCAAAGTAGGAAGGAAGGACTACTAATTGGCGAAATCTTTTAGGCGAATCAGTCTTACTTCCTTCCTACTTAAGAGTATGGAAAAGATCATAGACCACGAAATACGATCGAAGGTGCTGAAGGCTTCACCGCTTCATGCAAAGCAACATGCCTACAGAGCAGGCAGATCAACAAACACTGCTCTGTATCAGCTAACCTCAGAGATCCAGAATTCGTTAGATGGGGGCGTGGTGATGTTATGCGCCTTCCTTGACATCGAAGGTGCCTTTGACAATACGTCGCATGAAAGCGTGTCAAGAGCACTGGAGAAAAGGAGTGTGGTAGCACCAGCAGTAGGTGACACTAAAATTCGTCTGGGCACAACAAGAGGTTGCCCACAGGGTGGAGTGCTATCCCCCCTACTTTGGAGCCTAGTTGTGGACGATCTCATTGAGCGGCTGACTAGCAATGGAATCCGCTGTCAGGGATATGCGGATGACATTGTTGTCTTAGCTAGAGGAAAATTCGAAGACACACTCTGCGATATCGTACAAAGGGGACTAGGAAGGGATGGTGTAGTGGGGTTGGCTTTAACATCAACCTTTCCAAAACTACAATCATTCCCTTTACCAGACGGAGGTCATTGCCAGGCCTCAGAAGTATATCCCTTGACGGCAGAATGGTGGAGATGGCCAACACGGTCAAATATCTGGGCCTCAAGCTGGATTCCACTCTACGATGGAAGCAGCACGTGCACCAGACCCTCACAAAAGCCACAAGAACAATCATGGTGTGCAACCGACTTGCTGGAAAATCCTGGGGGTGCTCCCCAAGGACAATCAGGTGGATGTACACCATGATTGTGAGACCGATTATCACGTATGGAGCGGTATCGTGGTTTGCTAAAGCAATGCAGACTTCGGTAGGACTCAAACTGTCGAAGCTGCAAAGACTTGCCTGCATCTGCGCGTCGGGAGCAATGCGAACGTGTCCGACCGCAGCACTGGAAGTCATGCTAGAACTATCACCGCTACATCTGGTAATCAAACAGACAGCCAAACGAACTCTGCTCCAAATGACACCAGAGGGAGTTGGCAAAGGGAAGGTAATCTCATCCCAGCAGATGAAGGCGCTAAGTGAGGAAATACCACTAGCCCTTCTTCAAAGGGATCGCATTACCAAAGTAGTAAACTTCAACAGGACGTTAAAAGTTACCCTTGGCAGCAAGTTTGAATGGAATAATTCATCACTGGACCTGCTGCTAAGGGAAAGCACTATCAAGTGGTACACCGACGGGTCGAAAACGGAGGAGCGGATTGGTGCAGGGGTCGCTGGGCCAAGCACCAAACTCTCCATTCCCATGGGAAGTTTCCCGAGCATCTTCTAAGCCGAGGTCTATGCTATAAGTCGGTGTGTAGCGATAAACCTGCAACGCAACTATCGCAATAAAAGTATTGCTATACTTAGTAATAGCCAGGCGGCACTAAGAGCGATCTCTGCCTATGAGGTCAAATCTCTTCTAGTGCTGGAGTGTATAGAACGGCTGAACAGCCTATCAGAACACAACCGAGTGCACCTTATTTGGGTGCCTGGCCACAGTGGTAAAGCCGGGAACGAACTGGCTGACGAGCTGGCCCGCTCTGCGGCCTTTACAAAAATGATAGGACCGGAACCATTCATAGCGGTTGGTCCACATACAATTAAAGAGCTCCTCCGTAGGGAGGAAAGAGTAGGTAGGGAGACACATTGGCAACAACTTCAGAGCATGCACCATGCCAGACTGCTAATGGGGGGTTACGACCTCAAACGGTTCAAAACCATAATTAATCTCCCGAGGAACAAATTCCGGCTACTTGTCGTGTTCTACACCGGCCACTGCAGGCTTAAGAAGCACCTCTTCAACATGGGCATAGCCTCTTCTGCAAACTACCGGTTCTGCGACATAGAGCCGGAAACCCCTGAACATCTGCTGATGAACTGCACAGCAGTCTGCAGACGCAGAATCAAGGCCCTGGAATCCATGTTTCCACACAGGGATTGTATCGCCTCACTAGCACCCAGCAGAATTTTGGAATTTATCAACATGCTGGGCCTAGATTATACGATATGACTTAGGGGAGGGCACAATAGACCATAGGTCGCGGTGCATACCTCAAAATTAATCTATCTATCTATCTAATATGCTACAAAAGACTTCGTGTGTAAACGCAGTTTTAATAAGAATTGCGGCAACAAAAAACTTCGAGTTTGAACCGAACTAAATAAATTTAAAAATTTTTGATATCGAAAACGGTGGCAATAGTGATTTTGTGATTCATTGAACTATTAAACATTGATATTATTTGTTCATTGATATTTGCTTGGCCGTGGTGAGTGGTGTTTTAAAGTGAAGTTATATTAATTATTGGAGAACAAGTTTTTACTTTACAATGCCGCATTTAATAAAGGATTCGGTAAGTGATTTATAACTGGAGACGCCATTTGAAATGGTTTCTGTCTAGTTTTTTATGTACTATATTGTTATTGCATGATTGGGTAAAATTATTTTTATTACTCAAGAAACTATATGTGCTAAGAAAATTTACTATGTCCCATTTAGTTAAAGATTCGGTAAGAGAATTTCCGCTGAAGTATTTTATGATGAATACTGTTTTATCTTTCACATTATTGAGTAGATATGACATCATAATTTTTTAAGGGTTTGTAAAACTCGTTGAAACTAAATATCATATATAAGTGAATATTCCAAACCATATTTACATGATGAAATATAACAAAATTTGGAAAAATAGTTCCACACCAAATTATATAAATGGCGACGTGTAAAAATTGTATTTATTTATACTGGTTATTCAATTAAGTAAATGAATTATTGAATTGATGGATAATTATGCTTAGTATTATTTAGCCTTTATTTTTATTTATTAGACCTTTTGACATTCTTAAAACAAGCAATCATATGGATTAAAGGTTAATTAAATTTACGGTTTTGCATTAGTTTACGTCTTCAGCAAATTGTTGTTAAAATCTTAAATTTGGTATAAATTGTGTATTAATAATATTATAATCATATTTATTATATATAATCATGTATATTAGTACATTATAATCACGGTTTCTTCAGCACTGAACATGATTGACCACGTTGCTGAACTTCTCTGCTGTGGTAATTATATGTGGGATTCGCACTGAATTGCGTCTATGGATTTATTGTATAAAATAAATGTGACTACTTCACTAATGAGTGTATGTTGGTATGAAAAGATTAGATTAGATTAAATTACAGGTATGCATACAAGTTGACCTTTGGTCTATTGTGCTCTCCCTTCTCTTCTCTCTCTATGATTTTGCACACATTTAGTTTTTTAGTTATAATTTTGGGTGGGCTTTAGTTTAGCATCCCACAATTTCAGGGTTAAGAGGGGTATGGTTGGATAGAAGAGATTCTCCAGATCACGAATATATATAATTATTGCCGCCGGAAACTTATAGTTTTCGAGATATTTGCATTTTAAGTTGAAAATTTTCAAATTTCATTTTACAATTTCTCGATTTATGGTTATCTTTTATTTTATATTATGCACTTATTATACACTAACTTTTCACTTCAATGTTTCTACATATTTATTTTGTATTAAATATTTAAGTATTTGCTTTAAATAAGTGCCCGGGAAAATTATGGAAAACTTAAAAATTAACAAATTTTTTTCTTTGAGTATAATAGTTTCAGGCAAAACGATATTAATAAGAATGAAAAAATATTCTGTGGCACCATCAACATATGTAGTTGCAGGAAACTGCAGTACTGCAGCTTGTCATTGATCCTACAAATGTTTGGCATCTTTGTGGTAGAGTTGAGGTACAATCAGCTTTTACCAGCTCCTAAAGCTTATTTGCCATTTTCTTTGTATGTTATACTGGTAAGGTATCCTGATTACGAATTTGAGTTCAAAAATTTTCCATCCCGTATAGATTTTGTGTTACAGAGTACGTGTTTTTTTCTGAAATCGTGTAATTTATACTTTTGACTGCTTATACTGCAACGGTTGCATTTACATGTCTATTAAATGTTTTGTTGACAATTTTTTCACAAATGCTGACTTTCGCTTGTACTGCTGATCTCTTTTCCTCATATGGAACCAACGGTATCCTATCTGCCTTGGTGTCGTTGCTTATTAGGATGTCCTAGTGGAACCTTTCTTTTTGCGCATCGTTAACTGCAACCAAATTTTCGGCAAAGAAATTTAAATGTGAGTGGAGAAAGGGGATTTTAAGGGAAATGCGACAGCCCATTTTGCGATAGGACACGAGGATGCTAAAACACCTAGGCTCGACGCGAGTAAGCTACCTCATCAAGGTCCTCAACTTGTCGATGACCACTTCTTAAATACCCGATGTGTGGAAAGTCAGAAGAGTGGTCCCACTACTGAAACCTGGGAACCCCGCCAACAAAGGGGAGTCTTATCGTCCAATAACTCTCCTTTCCCAGTAGTGACACTTTAGACCTTGCTACTCCCGACATTCACTCACCACCTGAGTCTAGCAAACCATCAGCATGACTTCCGACTACTGCGCTTAGTCATAAACGCCCAGATAGTTCATTGCCTAAACCAGAAGCCACTCTACGAGAGGACGATCTTCGTAGCGTTGGACTTGTTAAAAGCTTTAGACACAGTCAACAACACAACGCTATTTGAGGACATAGAAAAATCCACGCTCCCTCCAGTGTTGAAGAGGTGGACGCTGAACTACCTGAGCGGTCGGCATTCATTCGTACTGTCTCGAGGTCAAAACTCCAAACTATACAGCAGAGGGTACCGCAGGGTGGTGTCCTTTCCCCGCTACTGTTTAGTTTCTACATCTCGAAACACCCCAACCACCAGAGGGAATTTCCGTGACCTCGTACGCTGATGACTGCACGATATGGACGTCTGGCAATGGAATCGATGTCATGTGCCCGAAAGTAAACGGCTATCTCTCAAACCTTTCTCGCTTCTTCTCTGCAAGGAGCCTGATACTCTCCCCCACTAAATCCACTGCGATCACATTACGTCGATCCTTGATTACGTCGACGACATTAGTACGCTGACCAGACTTCGGACGCAAAGAAATTCAGACAAGTACTGACCGCCACTCACAAGGGATCCATCAACACCTTCACTGACGAGGGAATGGCGTACTACTAGTCAAACCACCATCCATAGCAGACGTAGAGCTCGAGTTGCCTCGCAAATCCAGATTGAGCCTCACGCAGCTTCGTTCTGGATATTGTAGCAGGTTAAACCTCTACTTATCCATTATAGACCCCGACATACCAAATATATGTCCTGCGTGCAAAGAGTCTCCGCATAACACTAACCACCTCTTTGTATGCCCAACGAACCCTACTTATCTAACACCCATTTCCTATGGTCCTACTCCGTCGAAACTGCTCGTTTTCTGGGCCTTCGGTTAGATGACCTCGACGACAACCAAACTATAATTTATCACCCAAGCGGGGACAAGGTAACCGTTACAACAACATTATGTACACAAGTTTCTTTGCTACATGCTGTAATTCAACATAACTCCATTTTATTAAAAAAAAAAAACAAGTCCAAAATTCTACGCGTTAAGGAAATTTTAACTAACATTTTCCGTGTCACTTTAGGGTGTCCTTATGAACCACCCTCAATTTCATGAGTACTGTGGTGCCCAGGTCTGTCTGCACAGCTCTCCTCGCAGAAGGGTGTGAGCTTGTTCCCAAGTCTCCGGTTGGACTTGACCAAAACTTTTTCGTTAATCTATGAAACGCTTTACTTGCCCATTCGATACAAAATGTTACCGTAGCACATTTGAAATATTAACGCCAAAATTGTTGGCTAGCATCGCAAAGATCGAGGGAATAGGCTGTACGACAGCAAACTTGGACAACTTGCGCTTTGCCTCAAAGAGCACGTTTGCTAATAATAATAATCTTGCTTCTTATTAAAATAACCGCCTGGAAGTGGCGAGAACTGCCACTATATAATTTGAAAATGAGATAAGCAGCTAGTGCGGCCTGTCTCTAATAGACATAACACTCCTGCACCCTCGCAAACTCAGGAAGGCATTTAAGACCATCTAATGGCTCGTCACAACGAACATCGTTTTTTATTTCTATAGAATTATACGCCTTCACTTCCGGAGGTGCAATACTGCTGACAACCGCCTGTGCTACTGTTCTTAGCTACTCAGTGTCCATGTTATTCGATACCGACGAAGCTACGGGAATGTGCCTGTGGGCTGGAACTCTATTGCGGATATCCAAGTCTGACCCTGAATCAATTGAATGTCGGCGAGGAGTTTGAAAAAATGGTGAGCTCATCTGCCTTAGACAATAAACTTTAATATAAAGGAGTAAAGTTAGCCGGATGTTTCAAAATCCTGAATATCAGTTATATAGAATTCCCAGAAACATGTGTCCCAAGTTCCTTTATGATATCTTAATTTTTACTCAAGTTGCAGCTTGCACGGACGGATTGACAGACATCCGGATTTCAAATCGTGTCGTCATCCTGATCATTTATATGTACATAATCCTATATCTACCTCGATTAGTTTTATGTGATACAAACAACCGAGATTAAATTATTATACTCTGTAGCAACACGTTGCTAGAGTATAAAAAGTAAACGATTATACACATCTTGTCTAAGATTGTATGCAAATATTATCGCATGGAATAAGCTCGTGTGTGGAGTTGCAGCTTGTTGGTGAACGATTGCCCACTCGACACTCTGTACAATCAAACATGTATGCTTATGATTCGAGTTTCGCGAACAGCATGTTCATCTTGAACTCGCCCTTTAGCGGTCAATACTTGTATTTATACTTAAAAGATTGATCTAAATAAAATCCGAGTGTCTAGTCGAGTATGCACGAAATTTTGTATCCGGTGCAGCTCTCTGGTCGTAATCTGGACACTGGACAAAGCATCAAAATATGCTAAGATATCCAGGACAACAAATTAGTTTTTGTAGAGCTGTGTTATTTCTCTAGTATAAATAAATGATTGGCAATGCAAAATACTTGTTAGTGTTGTTAACCTCACTTTCGTACCATGTTGCACAGAGTATAACAACAACCGCTGGGTAAACCAAGCCCCCAACAATTTTTTGGATCACTTAAAGCATATCGATATAGATACATGTGAAATTGTATGTCTATATCCAACTGATAAAGATGACTAGACTAATTGATTCTCGGATGTCCGAGTGTACAGGCAAGTTATACCTTGAGTAAAAGGTACACATTTTACCTGGACACAAAATCAAATAATAATTGAATTCCGTCATCAGGAAAATATCAGAATTAAACTTGGTTCAAATAGTGACTTCAATATGTAAAACCTTCAATATGTATGTGCATGTATGATCTTGGACATATCGTAGTTTAGTACTATCTGTAATGAAATGGGGTCAATACTTACCTT